TGTGGGCACCTGAAATTAATTTTCAAACCATTAAAGCAGATAGGTTAGTTAGAATGAAAAATTCCTGTGGAGAAGGTATCACCTCCCCTATTAAGTATCTGAGAGTAATTGTATAGAAGAAAAACCTATTGTTTTTTAAGGTAAGTGGACAAAGTGGTTCCAGGCTGCTATGTCACTATTTGGGAAAATATTAAAATGTACTAGAGCCAAAAATGTAAAATGCAGAAAGATGTAGCTTGTTATTCTTACAGTCACAGCATTCACAGTGGTTAGTTTTTGTTTCAAAAGGCAGTTTCCTATTATTTTATTTCAATATCAAAAAAATGCAAAACGGAAACCAAGGTACAATTTGAGGTCACAGATACAGTGTTAAGAATAAGATAACCATGAAAAGTACATTCTCTGAACGTTTTGTACTCAAGAGGAAGAGTGATACTTTTGGGGAGAGTTTTCAAAGTTCTAACCACTGTAATAATTAAGAGGAAAAAAAGCAGGGATATAACATAAGGAAACAAATGCACAAAACTATCATTATTTGCAAAAAAAATTCCCATTACAAGAAAATTCATAAGAATCAACAAAAAATGAGCGATGAGAGAATTTTCACATGGTCAAAACATGCAAAACATATAAAACAAACACCCTTCCTATATGCCATCAATACTCTCCCTAAAAGTGTAGATCACGCAAGGGCATAAAAAGTGAAATGCAAGAAAAGATCAGGCTCCTGAATAGTATTGAAAAGACATCAATTTATCCATAATTATATGCAAATTCCAACAAAAATACCAATGCAAGAGTTTCCAAAATTTGACAAAATAATTTTAAAGTTCATTTGGGGGTAGTGAGGGGAGAGACATTTTTTTTTTTTTAAAGATTTTATTTATTTGAGAGAGAGAGAATGAGAGATAGAGAGCACATGAGAGGGGGGAGGGTCAGAGGGAGAAGCAGACTCCCCGCTGAGCAGGGAGCCCGATGCGGGACTCGATCCCGGGACTCCAGGATCATGACCTGAGCCGAAGGCAGTCGCTTAACCAACTGAGCCACCCAGGCACCCCCTAGACATTTTTTTTAAAAGAATAATGTTATGAAACTTACAGCAGATGTAAAATGCATAATGAAGCAACGACAATTAAAACTTTGCATTAGAGCACGAACTGTCCCAACAGCTCACTGGGCTGATATAGCGAGGCCCAGGATCAAATCAATACAAAATAACCAACATCAAAAACAAAACAAACAAACAAAAAGACACATTAAAAAAATAACCAACATCACAACAGAAAAAAATAGGATGAGAATTAAAGCTCTTTATAAAAGACATTTTTAAAAAATAGTGTGCCCTAGGGTGCCTGGGTAGCTCAGTTGGTTAAGCATCCAACTCTTGATTTCAGCTCAGGTCATGATCTCAGGATCATGAGATCAAGCCCTGAATGGGGCTCTGTGCTCAGTGTGGAGTCGGCTTGATATTCTCTCTCTCCCTCTTCCTCTGCCCCTCCCCTGCCTCTCTCTCTCTCTCATAAATCTTAAAAAAAAAAAAGCCTCAACAACAAAGAAATGCAAAGTAAAACAGTAAGATATCATTTTTTTTTTACGTATCAATTTGACTTTTTAGTTTATTTTAGTAATTATTTAGAATTGCCTAGTATTGGCCAGTGCAGGGAAATGGAATATCTGATACATTGCTGGTAGGACTAAAAACAGATACAGCCTTTCTGAGAGCTATTTAGCAGTAAGTATCAGAAGCCTTAATATGTTTTTTCCAAGCAAGCCCACTTTAAATAATTTAGCCAAAGGAAATGATGGGAGATATGTTCAAAGATATATATACAAAGATATTTTTCCAGATTTTATAATACCAAAAATTTTGAAGCAAACTAAATGTATTACAGTAGGGGTATAGATGAAATAATTTGTGATCAAACCATAAGACTTTCAGTAGAACATATAATAAAATATAGAAATGTATAAAACTTAAGTGAAAATATATTAATGAAAAAACAAGTTATAAAAGTATCACAATAGGATTTCAATTTTTGTTTGGATAGGTCTAAACAATCATGTACATATATGACCAAAAGATTATACCCAAAATATTAAAAGGATGGTAGACTTATGGTTGGTTATTTTCATGAATTTTTTATATAACTGGATAAAACTAATAAATATTACCTTTTAAAAAGAACTAAGTCTGTGACCATAATGAATAGGATGGTAGAAAAGAGTATCTGATCTTTGCTAATAGTATGAACTACCTCATCCCTCATGAATGCTAACCAAATTTAGAAGCCTACATCTCACCCAGGGGCCAACTTGAGTTCCACCTATTTCACAAAGCTCCCACAAGTCTATACCATTCTTTTCTGGAATTTGAGAATCTTGGCAGTGATTAAATAGAACATTTATTATTTATTGCTCCAGCATTGTTTTGATATTTTTGTTATACTAAAGTTCCATCTCAAAGAGGACATAAGCCTCTCAAGGGGAGTGACCCCAACCCACTGCCTAGACCCAGAACGCTCAGCACAGTGCTATGCACATGTTAGGTGCTTTACAAGCAGATGTCACACTTACCTGAATTATATCACAGAAGACTGGCCAACTAAAACTTTGAAACTGAATGAAATACATATTATTGCAATAGTTCTCCTTGGGCATTCTGTATGTTCCTTTAAGTTCTGGACCAATATTAACTCTAGTCTTAACAACTACTGGCTGGTTTCAGGGATGTGGGAATAAAGATTTCCAGCTAAATGCAGATAGACAAGCAGCAGCACTCAAATACAACCTTAAAAATTAAGAGAAAAGGTAAGAAAATAACATTAAATTCTCAAGAAAATGAATAGTACCAGGCCACCTGGGTGGGTCAGCTGGTTAAGCGACTGCCTTCGGGCTCAGGTCATGATTCTGGAGTCCCGGGATCGAGTCCCGCATCGGACTCCCTGCTCAGTGGGGAGTCTGCTTCTCCCTCTGACCCTCCCCTCCCCACGCTCTCTCTTTCTATCTCATTCTCTCTCTCAAATAAATAAAATTTTTTAAAAAAGAAAAGAAAAAGAAAATGAATAGTACCCTAGTATTCCAGAGGCAAATACAACAGAAGAGACACAGTGAGAGAAAGGAGAAATTCTACAGGTCAGTCTAGAAATCAGATAAATATGTCAACACAGAGCGGGAGCATGGGCTAGACAGAGCACCCCGAAAGAAGGCTTCTGTGGTGGCCAACCTATGGCTAACCGGCTACCAGGATAGGTAACAGTGAAAGTGGAACAGGCAGAAGAGGATTGTAAAAATTACTCAAATTTTGATAATGAGAAACTTTGAAGAGAAAATTAATGGAAAAAAATTAATGGGATTTTTCAACTTGGAAAAGGAGAGGCCACAGGCCATTAATTATGGTAGCTGAACATTCTCTAGTCCCAGAGGGGTAAAATCAGTCTTACTTATACATAAGGAGGGTTTCCCAATAGGCAGGCTTGTGAACTACTGTAGTGGTGGTTAAGCAGAGGCCAACAGAGGGGGAGACAGGGCATCTGTGGCAGGTGGGAATTCCAAGAGGGGAAGATTTGGGGAGGGAACTGGTTCCAATACTATCTCAAGGTCCCTTCCATCCTTATAATCAATGATTTCTTAATAACTTATTGTACAGCAAAGGTGTATAAAACCTAGAAACCACAAGCTAAAGAAAATTACACTATTAAGAATAGGGAAGGCAGAAAATTTTCACTTCTCCTTTTTAATACCTATGATAATCCTATGTCCTAATTACAAATCTTTCTACCCCATCCAGTAATGGGGCTAATATTTATGCACCCCAAAGTTCAGGAAAATAGAGTATAAATGCAGCTCTTGATATATTTAGAGCCATCCAAGCCTTCACTAAATGGCCCTATCTAGACAAGTAGGCTGTTTTAGGTCTTAAACCTGGCTCTCACTTAATGCCATCAGTCTATCTGTGTCTAGAAGTTTGATCCCTCTCTTCATTCTCTTAACATCAGGAAGTCAGATCATCTGGCTTATAAGAATTGTTTGTAAACTAAGAGTAAATAGGCAAAGAGAAAAGTATTTAGGTAACTCTCTTGAGAATAAAATCACCTAAAGTTGATCTCCCTTGAATGATATATTTGGCAGCTTTCAAAGGCTTTTTTCTGACACCAATGGATGAGAGTGACTTTATGGAAGTCTCTCCCCTTCCCAAGGGGAGATTCTAGCACACCATTAAAACAAGGCTTTTTTCTTCCCCAATTCCTTCCTAGTGACTGACCACGTTCTAGAGACTTAAAGATGCTGGGTCATTTAAATAATAAAATTAATCTCTATAATGTCCCACAGTGAAATTCTAAGATGTAACTAAATATATTTCCCAATACATAGATTGATTCATAAATTTGCTGTTGCTTCTATTACCCTTCTCTTTCTTGTTAATAATATTATATTAGAAGCTACCATTTATGGAGTTCCAAGTACCATTCTAGGCACATATATATTATTTAAAATCCTATCACAATTATGTATGGAATAAATACAATCACTATTTTCTAAGTAAGAAAACAGAGGCAAAGAGGAGCTAAGTAAAAATTTCCCTAAGATCCCAGAGCCAGAAAGTTCTATCCCCAGGGATTCCAATCTAGGTCTGTTTCACTCCAAACCCCACCCTCTCTCCACTTTGCAAGCACTCTCTCATCATGCTGCATCTACTGGATATCAACTCTCTTAGAATTAACATTCCATTTCTCTAATAAAGATAGGATGATATTCTTTATCATTATAAATCATGTCTCTCAATCAGATTTAATATGTTTCTACCACCTGAGTTAAAAATCCACCAAAGAAATACCATGAAGAGCTTGGAGTAATAATACCCCAACTCAAATAAAGCAAATGTGTGCTTCTTTAATTTAATGATATATCATGAAGATATAGTTTTTTTCTTAATTTTACACGGGTCTCCTCCTTTTATATTTGAATAGAATAAGAGCCATACAGCTGAGCAATGCAAGCTTTTAGATCCTGAGGTCAGGGACCAAGTCTTTCAATTCTATAGCCCCAAGGTCTATACGTGGTAGACATTCAACACCTGATCGTTGATTAAAAATAGAGGCAATGACTATCAACTTCTAAAAGAAACATTTTAGGGTACCGAAAACATGTTGAACAGCAAAAAAGACTCCATGTTTCAAAAAAAAAAAAAAAAAAGTTTTTGGTCTGCAGGTAAACTTCCTACCTCTCGATCCTTGAGTTTCATGGCGAGCACCAACTGATGCCTGTGGTTAGTGAGAGCCTCCCGATAATTTCCTTTGGAGAAGAATGCAGAGCCCAGATTCCCATGAGCTCGGCATTCTCCTGTCTGGTCACCTGAGTTGGATTTTAAAAAAAGATAAAATTTCTCTTAAGTTATAGTGTTAATTATAATTTATAATGCCCATCTTAATTTAAGAACCACAGATTTGCTAGCTAAGATTTCATTTGCTTTCTTTTAGAAAAGTATTTTCTTCTTCTACAAGACTGTGTAGTAAGTTATGGTCCTAGAACTTAAAGCTCTGCACAATAACTGTTGTTATAACATACTACATTCAGGGACATAGGTATCCTGGAAATGAGAGGTTAAAGACCTTGACACAAACCAGCGGCTATGAGTCACCTCAATGCTCTGCTAATGACCTCTGGTTCTGAACAACCATCAGCTTGTTGATTCAGTCATTTAACTAAACCCACTATGATATATTGCTTCTTTAAAAGTGTGCTGATGATAGATTTACTGTATCTCTTCTCTTACTGCAATGCTGCAAGTCACTGAATAATCACTGTAACAACGATCATAATCATAAGCCACACTTATGTTACAAATGAGGAAAGGGTAGCACTGAGAATTGAGGCAACTTGCAGAAGGTCATAGGGCTAGTAAGGGGCAGAACCAGGGTTCTAAACTCAGCCATCTGGCTCCGCAGGCCACACTCTTAACCACTGCACTGTACTGTTACCTCTGACAAAAATGCCGATGCATTCTAAGGTAGGCAAAAATTAAAATTAAGATGAAAGATTCACCCATCAATACTATCGTTTGGGATATTACATCTGTGAGCCCAAATCTCTGAAGAGGGTAATGAATATGTTAATCCACATATCTTGGCCCTTTGGGAGCCTCGGTATCTTCCTATAAGAAAAGCGCTGAAGACCGAAGTACCCTAAAACACAGAACGTTTTAGTGAGACACACTCACTTTTCATTGCCTATGTTATTCCTATCCATGTCAGGCTAATCAGCTTTCTTTATTTCCTTTCTGTATTGAAATAAAAGAAAGAAGCAACCCTACCTAAGGTCTTGGCTACATCCAAGTCCTGCTGCATGTATCCGGTACTCTTCTCTGTGTTTCCAAGAGACCAGTAAGCACTGCTCAGGGCAGAGAAAACAGAACCTCTGAGTTTGAGGCTGCAGGTGCCAATCTTGAGAGCGGCTTCTAAGACAACCACAGAGGCCCCATGATGGCCAGCCGTCAGGAGTTCCTGCCCAACCACAGACACGACCACAAAGGGGCTCTTGTCCAGTTTCATTTTCTGAAGCTGCTGATAAGTGGGCTCGAGGGAGTCTGGGGGAAAAAAAAGAAGGAAACAAGAGAATGTAGGATGATATACAAAACAATCTTTTGTAATATGCTCTAGAAACAAATGTGTATCATTACCTCTTTATGGGCCATTTCAAGTACAAACTCTTCAACCTTTAATCTAGCACCACCCCCAGGGTCCACTTATCCATAAAACTCCATAACCCCAGCCTCAGTCTGGTAGGTAATCTCGTTCTCCCTACTGCACATGTGTAAGCTACACACACCTTCTCTTCTGGTCTTTCTTTGAATATGACACGCTGCTTTTCCTGAACAGTTCTCCCTCCTCCATCCCGCTGTCTTCTCAAAATCTTATAAACACAACCCTCAGGTTCGGACTCCACCGTATGGTATCCTCAGGCCCTCCAGCCCACATGACTCTTCATATCTAAACTTCGGCTGCATTTTTTGGAGTAGGTATGCCGTTTGACCCTTAACTATTTTAGAATTGTCCCATGTGTGTTAATTTTTAAGACATTTCCCCAGCTAAATGGGAAGACTGCTGTAGAGTGTTAATGCTTTACAATAATGCCATAGCAATTGTCACAATATGGGCTCTAAATTGAAAACCTGCCATTGCCACATAGGTGATAGTCCCTAACACATCTGGCGTTCAATAAATGTTCGTGCAATCTGAATCTGAATGGCTGATTGAAAAAACTCCATCTACCTTTTCCCTGGAAGATGCAATAAAAAAAGCTCTCCCCACAAAAGCCCCATCATTCTCACTGCAACCCAGCGTCCAGTGCTGCTTCTAAGACCAGGATGACCACATAAAAAAGTATTCTCAGTTTTTGCTGGGGTGACAAATGAAACCATAAGAAAAAAATCATCTGAACTTACTAAGGTAAGACAGAAGACAAAATGAATGTTGATCTCATTTTATTTTCATGTGGTGTCTGGAAAGGACACAGATTGGGGGGTCAGAAAGCCACAAAGAGATTCTTTCCACCTGAAGCTAGGTTTGAACGTGGATGACCTCTAAGTGCCTCCTCCCCCTTTTCCCATTTTGTTAAAGACAATTGCAGAGCCAATGACCATAACCCTACAATGATGTGGCACTTACAACGCATTTGTTAGCTTTCCTGAAAAACTGTTTCACGTTAGTTGTTCCACTGTGCATCTGTAAAAAAACTATTAAAAGGCTGGTCTCTTTAAATCTTGAATATCTCAGCCAACGGTACTGCATTAAAATGTAATTTTTACAATTTATGACTTTGAATTTCAACTCTACACTGAGGAGCTCTCGTCTGAATCAACATTACCACAGAAACCTCGAAACCTACTGATTTCTAAAGCATTTTTCCCCTGCAATCAGATCACTAAACAGAACAAAGAACATTTTTACACCTGTCAAGATGCAAGTGTGCGTAGTACCAGTAAACACTAGCTAACCAATAGGGTTAATACAGGCACAAGAACCCAGGAATTACTAGAATAGAAAAGAACAGTACCATACTGAAATCAATGTGAGCAGAATTTGGTGGTACCCGCTGATGGGTTTGGCAGCCAATGATGATCCCATTAGCATCCCACCAGACAATTAGCAGAAGCAAAAATAACAGAATTTTAGAGCTGAAAAGACCTTTAAAATACCCATTTTAGCAATGATGCATCTAAGTATTGAAATGATTCACCCAAGGTCAGACAGCATGGGACAGAGCCAAGACAAGAACCCACTGCAGGGCTCTAAGGCCAGGCTCTCTCTGCTGCCATACCAGGCAAAATTCTTAGTTGTTGACAAAAGAAACCAATCTTGGCTGGTTATAAGTAGAAAAGAAATGCACTGAGGAGCTACTGCCAATGGCGAAAAAGCAGGCCTCCAGACCCACAGTCAAAATCATGCTACAAAAGCTCCGTAAGTGAAAGCAACATGACTGTCGCAACTAAACACAGGACACAACAGCTTCCAACGCTGCCTCTGCCATCACTGAACGCCACCTTTAGAAAACAGATGCCACAACTGCCAACCAACACCACCAGAACAAATTCTGTGCTGTCTTTCCTTCTTTGAACCTTTAGCTCCTGACTCAAAGGGAGGTCCTAGCTGCAAAGGAGGATGGGAACATTAGGATCTGATGATTTCAGCTTTTACAGTGGAAGGGCAGGAGGCAGAAGTAGAACATAGGGAATTCCCAAAACACAGGAAAAGCATTCAGATGTGGAGAGCCCAAAATGACTAATAGCCAACAAAGATACCATGCTTTAGCTGGTGATTTTTTTTTAACCATAGCAACCATGGCCAAGTTCAAAAAAGGAGCCTTCTAATTGAGCCTCTAAAACTACATAATGTTAGAAAGACGAGAGAACATTGCCACAATTCGAGGACTGAGAGAAATACCTGGAAATACCCTACCAAAAAAAAAAGAAATCTTCAATTGTACAAATTTTCACTAAATAAAAAGAAGTTGAGGGAACAAGAGGTAAAAGAACAAATTTCCATTTGCAGTATATTGGAAAGAGACTATAAATACATTAACAGATAAATTAAATGCAAGCTCATATACATACATGTTATAAGAGTCTGGAAAAGGGAGTGACTATTAAGGGTAATCAGAAAGCTTCATGGAAACATAACCTGATTTCTTGAAGAAAGGGTAGGTAGGACTTAGACAAGTCTTTGCTTTTACTTTTTCTGAGAGTAGAGGGTATTTTAGGCAGAAGTTTTGTCCTAAACAAAGGTGCCAGGAAAAGACAGGCACATGGAATGACAGAGTATGAAGACAGGCACATGGAATGATAGAGAATAGGCCAGCTTGAAGGGACCAGAGAATATTATAAGGAAGGAAGCAGATGTGGAATTATGGAGAAAATACTCAGCGAAGGATAAATAGACCTGGATTTCAAAGCCACACAGCTTCTATCTCCGTACTTTGTCAAGTGTATAGATTGTGATTCTGGTGATGGTTACATAAATCTATACACGTTCTAGATATGCCTATGTCTGCATAGACTTGTGTACGTGCATGCATAAACATATGCACATTCATGTGTGTACATCTATGTGACAGATATATATGTGCACAGATATGTTCACAAAAGTCCATTTCACTTTCTGTAAATTTAAATTTTTAATGTCAAATTTCTCTGCTTCGGGCTGTAATTATGTCTCATTGGTCCACACTCATTAGTCGGAAGCTCCAGTTAGCAGGTATACATGCTTGTGATAAATAAAAGTGGTAGGACAAGGTTTTTTTTGGTGTATAAAAAATAAAGGCTAGATTAGCTATCTCTGAGATTCTTTCCAACTCTACTATTCTATTAGTCTAATTCCTATTCTAGAGTAAACTTAGACTATTAGCAAAGGGACTAATTTTGTGATTTTTAGCAGGCTAGGTGAAACAGATCTGTCAGCCTGTAGCTGTTAAAGATGTTTTTCCTTCTAGAAACTATGCATGATATATGAAATAGCCAATGATAAACCAACTCCGCGTAAGAATGTACAGGGCTTCTGCAACATTCACTGAATACCACTTATGTGCTTTCAAAATGTATAAGCTTTAAGAATTTAAGATGAATGAAGTCACATTTCCTGACATTTGAAGAGCCTGTAGGAACACAGTAGAGGCTATTAATAAACAATCTCACTCAGCTAAGAGATATACTATATTTCATCAGTTCTGAGATACACATTTATTCACATATTAACATCCGTGGATTTGGGATTTAATATCTCTGAACCCAATGGTGCCTCAGTGATCTGTCACTTCTATGTCTAAATGGGTCCAACAGAGCTCTTTCAGTTTATATAAAATAAAAAGTTAAATGACAAGAAAGAATTGTGTCATCATTTAAACATCAGCATTTTTTTAGTATTATATAATATAATGATACAACTCTCAGTCCAGAATTCTTAGCATTGGTAGGATGTGCTATGGGCCCCCAAAGGAGCAAAGTGCTAACTCTACCCACATAGGTCTGGGAATGCTTTCCAGAGGAAGTGACATCTAAAGAGAAATTGAAGATATAAGAAACCAGCATTTTCCAGGAACTGCAGGTTGTTTAGCTGGCGGTATCTTGGAGATAAGAATGAAAGGGAGGAAAGATCTCTTACACTAGGAGGCTGGCCTCTATCCTGTAAGCAATGGGGGAAATAGGATTATGAATAAGAGAATGACCAATCAGACTTACAGTTTAGAAAGCTCATTCTGGGAGGAAAGCAAAGCATGGACTGGTTTAGGAGAGATAAAAGCCAGGAGAACCAGTTAGAAGCAAAGCCCTGAATTTTCAGTGACAAAACAAATGGAGAACAAAGGATAAATTTCAGATATAGAACAAAAAAATTTATAGAATTTGAGGAATAAATGCATTTAACAGACACAATGCCTTATTCCAAAGGAATGATACTCTACTCGTGGTCTCCTATGGATCACCTTCAAGGTAATTAACATTTTCACAGATCTCAATTTGTCTATGGCACTATGAAGACCTGGAGCCTTCCAGTACCCTTGTAACATTTCCATACACACATGATTTAAAAAGCTTCAATTTTCCTAAAAACCTGGTGATACCACTACCAATTATTCTTGGATACATCACAAAAATATAGTATTGCACTGCAAATCCAGGAGTCTGACAGAAACAATTATGAAATAAATCTCCAAAATAGTGATCCAAAGAGAGAACAGCAATTAATGAAAGGTAAGAAAATAAGCAAAGTATTATGAGGGTAAAGTACTCCCCCAAAGCAAAATTTAGAGGTGAGGTTCATTACATTCTCTTAATTTTAATATTCACCTTTTTTAAAAATTTTTTTAAAAGATTTTATTTATTTATTTGTCAGAGAGAGAGAGCACAAGCAGGGGGAGCGGCAGGCAGAGGGAGAAGCAGGCTTCCTGCCAAGCAAGGAGCCCCATGCGGGACTGGATCCCTGAGCCGAAGGCAGACGCTTAACTGACTGAGCCACCAAGGCGTCCCTTTTCTTAGGGTAATTCCTTAAAGGGGCAATTAAATTAAATACCACTTGGCTTATCACAAAAGGACAACTATTGTATGATTCCACTTATATGAGGTACCTAGAGGAGTTATATTCACAGAGACAGAAAATAGCATGGTAGTCGCCAGGAGCCAGGGGGAGGAGGAGTGGCGAATTATTATTTAATGGGGACAGAGTATCAATTTGGGAAAATGAGAAAGTTCTGGAGACGGATGGTGGTGATGGTTGCACAACACTGTAGATGGACATATGTCACTGAATTGTATAATTAAAAATGGTTAAAATGGTCAATTTTATGTTACAGATATTTTATCACAATTAGAAAACTTTGGGTTATACAAAAAGTAAAACTTAACCCTTCTCAAAAAAAAAAAAAGAAAAGAAAAGATGCGGCGCCTGGGTGGCTCAGTCAGTTAAGCATCTGCCTGAGGCTTGGGTCAGGATCTCAGGGTCCTGGGATCCAGTCTGGCATACAGCTCCCTGCTCAGCGGGGAGCCTGCTTCTCCCTCCCTCTCTGCTGTTTCCCCTGCGTGTGTGTGTGTGTGTGTGTGTGTGCGTGCGCGCATGCATGCACATGTGCATGCACTTGCACATGCACGCACTTTCTCTCTGTCAAATAAATAAAATCTTTAAAAAAAAGAAAAAAGAAAAGAAAAGAAAAACAACTGACATGTTTAGCACTTTGAGCCATTTCACATTTTCCCAGGTTTGTCTGTATATCGTTCCAAAAGGATTCAAAGGCCTTCCACAGAAATAAAGGTAGAAAATACAGAAGTCAGAGTGAGTAGAAAGTAAGGGAAAGACCAAAGGAAAAAAAAAAAAACCCGTCAGTATACAGACAGGCAGACTGTAAGCCCTGGCCCATTTCCTAAAGGTGGCCAGGACATTTTCAGGCCCTACACTTCACAGAGGAGGAAGCAAAAGGATAAAGATCACTTCTAAAATTCCCAGACCATTTAAATAAAAATACAGCAACACTCAGGAGAAATGCAGCTTTTCCTGGCACTGGGGTCTGAAACAAGAGGACCACGCGGGCGGTGCGGTGTTCATTCCACACCCAGGCCACTGTCCTGTCAGAAATACAAGAGCAGGATTAATACGGCTGCTACGTGCTCCTCAGTGAGAAGTGCAACACACCGAAGCGGGGAAGGTGGCCAGCAAGGGCCAGCTTATACCTTCTAGCGGCAGATTCTCAAAACAATACTAGGAGGTATATATTGTCATTTCCCTCTTACAGGTAAGGACTGAGGTGTAGAGAAAGGAAGCAACCTTGCTCAGTCGATGCAAGAGCAAATGGCAGCCCCGGGATTAGATTCCAATCTTTTTCTAACAGAACATTTCAGAAACAGGCCTCCTGTGAAGTGACTGCCACCTAAAAGAAAATCAAAGGGAAAGAATTCTCCGAGGGTGGGTGGCAATTAGGCAAATAAAAGGTGAGCCCCAACTTGACCCTGAGAGAAAAGCTTATACATTCCACAGCCATTTTCCACCAGCACTCCATAAAATTAGCTTCCCTGGATCCTCCGGACCTGGTAGAAACACCATGACAGGTGATAGCCCATAAATGTAATAGTCTTTAGATTACCAAATTAACGGGAGGAGAGAAAATATACACAAGAGAACCCTCAGCAAGAAGCAGCCCTGGCGTCTTCAGAGGAACAAATAAAGGTAAACTCAATCTTACTTCGTAATTATATTATTGAATTTGGTTGGCAGTGGTACTATGCTCTACCATGCAAATTTGCATAAACATTTATAAGATACAATGAACTGAAATTGCTGAAAGGCTACCTGAAAAGGAGAAATGGAAAACAGGAAAAGGATAACTTGAGAGGTCAGGAAAAAGCGTATTGTTTTATATTTATACTTATTTTTATACTTTCATTAGCGATTTAAGGAAATACAGTATATATAAGGATGTAAATATATCTACAGGAGAAGTAGTTTCACTGCTATCTTGGTTGGTGAACATGAGTGAAACCATAAAGTAATGACTTACTAAAGTAAAATAGACTTAATTCAGTTAGCAGTATAAGCAACAATATAAAAAAAATCAGGTAAGTTTCAATATGGATAAATATAACATATTTATTTGGGAACAGGGACATATTGATGTGGATCGGCCCTACCTTTAAAAAAAAAATGAAATCTTGAAACTTCCCCAAAAGGCTAAACCACAGGCATGCTTGTGCACATCACTGGAGCTTTGTTTCCTTACAGAAGTACCTGGACTAGGGAGCTTCCTCTGTTGCATTTAAGGATTACAAAACAAAAACAATTACTACAACAAGAGATCAGACTTCTATGTAAAGTGTGTAAAGTGACCCAAACTGCACAGCAATGCAACAACAGCACGAACTTAGAGAGCTAGATAGGCTACAATAAACAGTGGGTAAAAAATGGGCAGCAAATGATGACAGGTTTTGTGAATTACAACCATATGACAAAAAGAGAGGTCATTAAGATGTGAGATGATGCCCAGAACAACACTGTGCAAAGCAACAGCCTCTATAAAATGTTGATAAGAGAAACCTACCTGGAATAGACACGGCGGTAAAGGCAATGCTAAAAATAAATGAGATAAATCAAATTGCCTTAAGGAAAGAGGAGAAAATATTGAAGCGCTCCAGGCACCTGTAAGATGCAGCTTTCCCCAGGGTCAGCCTTAGGTCACTCAGTGTAAGATGGGAAAGAACATGGCACAGAAAACCCTAAGGGGGACAGCAGCACTGAGTGATTCTCGCAGTGCAAGGAAGACTTCCTTACATTTATCTAAACAAACTGCTTCAAAGGCAAAATGGTAAGTACGATTCTGCTGATCTCAACACATTCACTCCAGGATTCTAAAGCAGCAGCAGAAACACCTCAGAATAAAAAAGTGGTATCTTCATGAACTAAATAAAAAAAATGTTCCATGTAAATTGCTTGCAGGAGGGTATAGGGAGAGAATGAGAAAATGCCAGAAAATGGCAAGGAGAGACAGATTGATTTTTTTTGTTGTTGTCCACTTCCCCCCGCAAGCCCTGGAGCTCCAAAGCGCATCTGCTCTAAGTCAGAGTTTATTAACAGCAGGTCCCCCAGTGGGAGAAGCCATTAGGTTCCTACAGGCAAAGACTCAGCTTTGTATGGGGTTATAAAATCACATGAGGAGAGGTTTCCTTATCACTTTTTTTCTAAAACATGCAACCTTCCACTTCCAGGAAAACATTTTTTATAGCTATGAATCATCCAGAGACTATATGAGTCCCATTTAGTTCACCAAACTTTTACTTAGCATTTATTTTGAGCCAAGTACTGTACTAGCCAATATATTAAAACTATATAATGCCACAAATATTTTCAAAAGTAGATACGATGTCTAATGATACTGCCATCAAAATTTTTAGGTTCATTCAAAAACATACCTTTTCAGAGATAAAACAGAGTTCTGCTTGACAGAATCTAATTAATATGGAACATTTCTAGCTGTCTACTATTTGACGTCAACCTGCCTGAGTGTCTTTGCAGTATATGCTGCAAAGATGGTACCTGGTGTATCCTTTCAGCCCAATCTGTCTGAGGGCTGCGGCAAAAATCAATGTTCTTCAAAGTGAAGCCAATCGGTTTTGGGCCTTAACTCCTTCCAACCTCCGGTACTATTTTCAACCCATTGTTCTTCCAGAATACCAGTTGTATAAAACAGAAGTAACAACAGGAGAAAACCATATAAACTAGCATCTGTCTTTTCTCCTTCCTTTTAATTCAACATAATCTTTTCATGTTCCTCTGAAAAATGTTAGACACAGCCTACAGTTAGATCCATATTTCCTTTTAGAAAATATTAGAATATTAGAATATCTAATATCTTCTCTTATTTGATTATTTCTAGATCTAGATCTAGATTATTTCTAGATGGCATATTGGTCTAACTAAGTAAATCAATTTACTTCTAGAGGTGTTGCGATTTAGAGGTACAGAATCTTAAAACTATTTAAAAAAAAAAAGTATTCTTTAGATAACCCTGAAGTCCAGAGAAGTTAATTCATTCACACACAGTCATACAGTTTATGAAAAATCAAAAAAAATATATAATCCAAGTCGATAAGCTTCTGGGCCAGTGGCCTTACCACCATCCCATTCCATCTCATTAACATGAGCTACTGGCAGTGATTCTTCATCTTCCTTTGTGTAAAATATCCAGTCTTGGCAAATTTGATAACCTATCAGTTTTCAGTGGCTGAGTCCAAAGTCTTCAAAAGATAGAAATGTCCTACTTTAAATTACTGTCAGGCCAAATACTTTCATCATATTTACCTCTCATGGGAGATTTCATGGCAGCTTCTACCATCCCCACCAGAAGTTGCAGACTCTTGGGGTCCTGAGCCAGTCCAGAGGCAAAAGCTGCCAGGGCGTCGGCATGACGTCCGAGGTACTGGAGGGCAACACCCTGTCGGAAGTATGCCTGGAAATAAAGAAAAGATAATGCGTGTTTTACTTATACACTATGCTCCAAGAAGGCTGATGGTGATTCTTTATTACAACAACTGGTCAGCAGACCTAAGATGGAGATTGTCTTGGTTCAAAAACCTAGTAAGCAGTTTGAAATCAATTCTGATTTCTTCCAACATCATAAAATGTGAGCATCCTTCTTCAAGGAAATTATATTTAAAACTTTCACTCTTTTCACTTCTAGAACGTTTATTAATTCTACCACATTTTTTGGCATTTATTTACAAATTGCTTTTTTTGAATCATTTTAAAAATATTTTTTATCCTATCTTTAACAACATAAACTCCTTGAAGACAGGTGTTTGGAGATTTTTCTATCTCACCAAAGTATCTGGTATGGTGCAAGATAAATGAGAGACACTCAAATTCCACTTATTTCAAATTTTCCCCTTTTATATAATTAAAGGGAAAAATCAATGTGTGATGGTTATTAAGATAATTTTCATAATGAGTAATATAACATGGCTACATTTAATGTGGTGTTTCAGACATAATATTTAAAAGTTGTTATCTAAAACGTATGCTTCACTCAGAAACAAAATAAGATTATTGTCCTTTGTGTTCTTTAATTGGATTAGTTTAAAAACTAGTATTATCAGTTCTGATTATAAGAAAACATCCTTCCTTCCAGCTAATTGCAGAAAGGGCCAGAAAATTAATAAAATATTTAAATTTTAGAATAGTCTTAAGATATGCAGTTTGTTTTCAGGCACACAGAGTAAAAAGAAGTAAATGAACAAAATGTTACTAGCATATAACTAGCAAAGGACCTTGTACCTGATTAAATGATACACAAAAATGACAATACACTCACTGGTTATATGACGTCTGCTTCTAAAATACTTGGCCTCCTGTTTCACTTAAATAATCTTATGTTTATAACACACATTTAACTTTTTCAGCCCAATATACTTTGAAATTGTCACAAATTGTATTCATGGGATCTAAATGAAGTTTCAAACAACTCCTAAAACTGCCACTCAATAAACTTAATACATAATTTTATAATTTTATATTACATACACTGAGAGAGAGCACTTTTCATGTATACAAAACATACGTACTTACCTTATCTTATTTCATTTTTATAACTCTCTGTTGAAGTAATTTAGGATAGGTAATACTATTAAGTGTTTCTATTAAGAAACAATCCATAAACAGAATGAATAGTCAATTGTGGGCTATTCAGACTTCTATTAGTTTAAACTACCAGCAGCTGTTAAAACTCAGACCCTAGTAAGACAATAACCTGTAAATGCACTTTCATTACTAATTCATAAAATCACTTCCTTTCAATGGACTCAGCCACGGTTTTAATCTTTAATGTGTTTGTAGACATTTGTCACTACCCTTTTCATGTCACATTTTAGGTGATTTCTATAATCCAAGAGGCAATATATACCACATTCCAACTAAAAATAACTATAGTTTAGCTTTAATATAGCATTTCTAGAAAATGTAAACTAAAAAAAAGTATATTTATATATACACATATATATGCCAAATATCTGTAATTATTATTATTATTTACGGAGAGAGACAAAAAATGCCTGTAGTTTTTTATTTCAGGTATATATTTTAAGAAACACAAAAATCTATTGTAATCATTTCAATTACAATTACAATACATGTTAGTCAAATCATGCTATACCCCTTCAACTCATACAGTGCTGTCATTTCAGTAAAATTGGGGGGGAAACACACAAAAATCTTGTAAGAGTCTCAATGAATTTTGATAATTTCTTGTATATTTAAAACAAAACTTTATCATTCATTACTTCACCGAAAGAACAACTGTTTTCCCTGTTTGACAATTAAATCACTGAAAAGTATGATTTAGCTATTCTGTCCAGGTAGGCAAAGTTCAGTGTTAAATGCGAGTTAGGGTCTCAAGTTTACACAGCAGTTACACAAGAAGCGCGTGCACGTTTTGTTGTTTTCTTAGGGCACTCAGAATTGAGATGAGAAAAGGTACAACTTGGCCATGCTGCCAAGGAAAGGAATCCTGGCTTCCTTTCTTCAGAAGATTTTGAAAAGAGGTATAGGAGAGAAGGCTCAAAGGTCTCCCTTGGTCCTCCCTTAGGCCCCTCCAGAACCCCCAACTCAACTTTATGAGATTTCCTCAATTAAAAGCTTAAGAGTTGTATCCCTGTCAAGACATAAGCATAATTAGTTCAAACTCTGACAACCCCCTGTTCCAAACTCATAGATTGGGACTCCCCTAACTTTTTCCATACAATATTCATTGCATGTACAAATAGCTGTTGAATAAAAATTAGTTATCTATATTAGTTATCCATACTTTTGTGAGAGAAATGCCACTATGGAGTTCAATTGATGATGATAAAACATGGACTGTAGGTTACTGTGATAGAATAAAAAGAATTTAGCACAGTGTGGCTGACACACAGTAAATACACAATAAAATTAGCTGTTTTGATTAGTTAATGAGAAAAGAATCATAATACATAATTACAGACCAACAGAATATAAGGGGAGTCCAAGAAATATTTCAAATAGTCTATTATTCAATATAATATGATTCGATTCCTATCACTGCTTCATCCACCCCTCCCCTTGCTCCCTAAAAGACTGTTTGCAACTGGGAACTCATGGCTTTAAGGCTCCCAGACAAAATCTGATCCACCGGACTAAAACAAATTAGAATTATCAGGTCTTGGGAGACTCAGCAGCCACTCAATGGACGCTCTGTCAGCCTTTTCCAAGGAAAGGTCAAGATATGCTGAGATTCACAGCTGTTTACCATAACTTCAAGAGAACTGATGTGATCTGCCGTAGCCTATCTGCTTCTCCCCTACTGGTTCCTGCTACTAATTTTTCTCTTACCATTTCATAGGAAGCTATGTCATCTAGGAAAGGGGCAAATTTTGACCCTTAAGGATTGAGCAGAAGTAGTATGGCAAGTGAAGGGGGCCCATGGAGCAATGTTGAACACTTGGTGCCCAGCCAACCTCAGTAACCCCCTCACATACACCACATTCTAGCCACAGGTTATGCAGCAGATGGAGAAGGAAGGGCAACGCGGATTCACTACTCAGAGCACCTATACCCTGAGAACAATGGTTTTAACCTGAAGTTTCAGCCAAGAAGAAAAATTTAAAGGGAGTTAGTGAATGCACTGCACTAAAGGTGGGATGCCTAGAGTTTCAAGTGTTGCAAACTCATTCACCACAAAGGACCCTCTATGATTATAACCCACACATGCTACTAAATAACCTCACAAATAATATAAATACAACTGGTTACAAGAATAAGTTTCCATACTTCCTTCCTTCCATTAACACTCCCCAAAAATCTACAGCACCAGGTACTGTGATGTGTACCACAAATAAAGTCAGGACTCTTAGCCTCAAGCTACTCACAGTCCAGAGGGAAAGAATATAAAAAGCTCTAAATGTCTTGACTGCTACCTGCAGTAGCTGCTTACTAATAGTAAGGGCTTGTAATATTTCAGCAGTAATAAAAATGTAACTAACGACCAAAGTATTTATGCCTATTGTTGAAATTGTTAACATTTGCTTTTTATTATGTGGCCATTCTTTTCATCTCATAGTGTTTGCAGTGGACTGGATGTATCCCTCCAAAATTAGTATGTTCAAACCTAATCCCCACCGTGATGATATCTGGAGGTCGAGTTTTAGGGACATGATTAGGTCACGAGAGTGAAGCCCCCATGAATGAGATGAGTGCTCTTATAAAGAGACCCAAGAGCTCCCTCTCCCCTTCTGCCATGTGAGGACACAGCAAGGCATAGACACAGTCTGTCTATTCACTAGGAAGTGGGTCCTTACCAGACACTAAATCTGCCATCACCTTGATCTTGGACTTCCCAACAAGAAATAAATGTTTGTTGTTTAAGCCACTCGGTCTTTGGTATTTTGTTATAGCAGTCCAGATGGACTAAAACAGGGTTAAAGTACAAACACTCAAAGACTAAACACGGGAAACAGTAAGCTCTTCACCCTTCAAGCACCCCTGGAAGCTGTGAAGGACCTGGAAGCCTTTAATTTCAACATTCCATTTCTGGTTTCCAATTCTAAAACATTACTGAACTCGGCCATAACATAACATCCTACTCTCTCACAGCTCAAATGAGTGATGAGGTAAATTATTATGCTTATGGGCACACGTATATATTTAGGACATAAAATATAGAATAAATACATGTAATATGTAATGCTACATAAAATTAAACATGTTTGCTTACATGTACAATCTATTACTTAGTTCAAGCATTCACAAGTATTCTTTCAATTAATCTGTACTTTCTCATGTTATTCATTAATATTCCTAATCTGTCTTTCACTGTTTGAACATTTTTACATTTTCTAAAGAAGAAATACGTCTATAAGATTGTGATATACCTGCTAGCCAATCATACCCCCTGCTACCACATCATTGCCATCTTTTTCAACAATGTTTATAAATTGCATAACTATTTTACTCTATTTCCCTTATTATTTTATTTAAAAATGAGTAGAAATGGGGAAAATAGAAACGCCAATTCTCATTTTTAAAAAGCAGCAGTATTAATCTATAATTTAACACAACTGAGTCAAAACGAAAATGATTACAGGGAGCCAAAAGCAAAAAAACTTTAATATCACTGTATGTACAAAGAACAACTAACTATGCTCAGTGGTGATGGAAAAGAATAAAATTAGAGAATATGAAAAAATGATTCTCAAAAAGGAAAGGCATTGAGATTTTATTTTTTAGTTATCTAGGAATTAACACTTCCCACTCAATGAACATGTCAATCTCTGATTTAATATTTTCCTTCTTGATATTTTATATATTTGGACTTTCAGGAATGCTTTGTATGGGAAAGTAAAAGACTATTAAAACAGATATGAGGCATATGAGCACAATGTAAATATATACAAATTACCTACTATCACATTTATTATATATTATAAATTATACATGTCA